GTCTCTTAAGGTAAGAAATTAAATATTTACTTAGTTATATAAGCTATGAATGTTTAAAATTCGCGCAGCGATCGTCAACGCGCACGCAGCTGTCAACGTCCGTGACGTCACCTTGGATTCATTGGATGTACCCTGATATCCATTCAATTGGATGTACACTGATATCCATTAAATTGGATGTACCCTGATATCCATTCAATTGGATGTACCCGTGATATCCATTAAATTGGATGTACCCTGATATCCATTCAATTGGATCAAATCAAATCAAATTTCTTTATTTGCGTAATTCCAGGTACATAAGTGGTCTTACATAGACTTGGTAGGTTTCACTGATATTCATTAAATTTGATGTACACTGATATCAATGAAATTGGACGTACCCCCGATATCCATTCAATTGTATGTACAGTCGCGGAATGAAAAGGTTCGTCACCTTAGTGTCGGTTTTCGCTTGCACTAGGTACTGTAAGAGTCAAACCTGCCAACATAACCGTGCAAGAAACAGTGCTGCTAACATTTAAATAAATATGACGTTTGCTAACGAATAAGGTTTTGTTTGTATATTTTTCTATCCCATCAGNTTTAAGCATTGAATTGGTTTTATTTCGAAGTAGCCAGGTGAATACCTATTATCTTAATGTATTGTCTTTTTTTTTATGCAAAACAAGGCAGGTATTGGACCACAATCGCACGCACCTGATGTAAGTGGGATGCAGTCTAGGATGGTACATCCTACCTGCCCTGTAAGTGCCTATTCACTCTCTGTAGTTTTAATTATTTTTATTTATCCAACATAAAAGTTAAGCCGGCATGTACCGTATACCCTGTACTTATAGTACTAAGTATACGTAGTAGTATAGACGGGATCAAAATTAATTAAGAAACTTACTCTATGAACTGCCAAGTCTGTCCACAGCTACCTTTTCGGGACCATCGCAATACCATAAACTCTGCGACCCGAATCCAATAAGAGCAAATATGATATGATCCCTTCAGCCCGCACCTCACAAACAGTAATGCCTACTTGGAAGTCCGGTGGATACATAGATGCTCCAGGGCTGGCATTGGTTCGTAAACTTTGTTTGTCTAATACCAATAACAGAATAAACAGTTCATCTATTTGTCTTTTTCAATCATTTATTGTTTGTATGATTAACTTACTTATCTGAAAAGGGTAGGTACGCATTTATTTCAAATCATTGTTTTCTCAATATTTGTTTTTGTATCTTGTTACACTTTATTTATTATAGGTACGAGTTGTAGAAAAAAATGCTTCACAAACGAAACCGGAGAGGATCAACTCCACGAAAAATAATCATTTGTAAAACTTTTCCTGTTCTGAAAGTATTTTTGTAAGCAAATCCTGTTAAATTTTATTGTGTTGTATTGTATTGAATCAAAAGGAAGTAAGTCTGTGCCCTCCACCCTCCTACTCTGTGCCCTCCGCCCTCTAACTCCTGTGCCCTCCGCCCTCTTACTCTGCTACCTTCCATCTCCCTACTCCTGTGCCCTCGGCCCTCCTACTCTGTGCCCTCCGCCCTCCGCCCTCATAATCTGTTGCCTCCGCCCTCCTACCCTGTGGCCTCCGCCCTCCTACCCTGTGGCCTCCGCCCTCCTACCCTGTGGCCTCCGCCCTCCTTCTCTGGCCTCTGGCATCGCTTAGTGCCCTCTGTCCTACTCCTGTGCCTGTTGCCCTCTCTTAGCACCTTCTGCCC